ATTCTGTAGGATTGGGACGATCTGCTTATCACACAATACGATTAGTTATACAATATGAGGTTCACAATGTAATACAAACATGATAGAATGTAATAAATCTTTAATGACAACTAAATTCTAGCTGTGCAGAATTATGTTCATTTCTTGAGATACGAATCTTTGTAATGTAAACAACAGTTTTAAATGTCATTACAAAGTGACAATAATATAATTTGGATATAAATATGAATTATCTTCAGCTTTCAGCTTTCTCCATCCCGTTCTGTCAGGGAAATATGTAGAAGCCTAACAGGGTTTATAAACCATGTCAGAGGCTATCCTTATATTTAACATATTTCAGAAATCAGATACATCATTTCTGTATGTTTTATTTTGCCATTGATAATAGTATGTTGCATGTAGATTATTTTGCCATTTCTTTCAGCCAAAAGGTCTGGCCCCCATCTTGGGAACCGCAGGAGAACATAGGAATGACTGTGTCATAAAGGAAGGTCTGCTAAAAATACTGTCACATTGATGGTGCAAGAAACAAATAAAAATGTTGTGCCCGTTAAACTGGGCCATGTGGACAACAGTAAAGTTTGATTGATTGTACTGAATTGAATATGCATACGTATGTTGTAAGTAAATTATTTGTTTAAAAATCGGTTTCATTATTTGTTCAGTAGGGCTGGGTGTTGGCAAGGACCTCATACTATTTAATACAGTGGGTCACAGTATGATTTGATGTTTATAAATTTAGTCATGGAAAAGAAACAGGAAAGATAATGTTTATGCGATGTGTTGAGGCTGTGATAAAGCTGAAGGATGCATACTACACCACAGATTCACTGTAGGGCTACATATTGTACTTAAGCATTCAATATTTTCAGCGAGGTGCTTTTGCTGCCTAGAAAATCTGCTATAATCCATCATCCAAAAGGCAAATCATTATATTATGCAGTTTGCCTTTTCACAACCTTCCGCCCAGAAAAACTACAGTTTGCATTGTTTGGCACTTCCTATGATCACTTCACAATAGAAGTCCTGTTGTATGTTTTGTTGTTGTTTCTCCCTCTCTGATAACATGGAATTGACATTGTTACTTGAGTATTTTTGTCCTTCGCCAGAGTTTCATTTTCAGACCTCTGTCTGGCCCTAGCCTCTTTCAGGCAGAGTTTCTGAGACCCTTCGACATTATTTGCTATTCATTCATTCATGTTTGGTTTTCTTGAGCTGTGAATTGTCCTGCCAATGTAAACAAAAAACTGTTTTAAATGTGTTGACAATAAACGCTGTTTTCTTAGAAGTTGCTGTCTAAGAAACCTTTTTAAACCTTGCAGTACTCATGGTATAGCCAGCATTGGTGTTATGAATAACCTTACAGTTAACTTAACACTAACCATATTACTGTATCTGTACACTGTTTTTGTAAAAAGTACACGTTTGTAAAATAGAGCTTGCCCTCAATATGTTTTCCATGTGTAAATGAAGCTACAATGCACTCTATATAAAAGTTTGTAAAAATAAAAAGGAACATACAGGTGTATTGACTCTACAATATAGCTTTCCCACAATGAGTTATAGCCATGTTTTCAGCTATTGTGACAGCTGTTATTCTCAGCACACATGATCAGCCAGACAGTGTGCCACATAGCATACAGTAGTTTCTTACATAGGCGTTATTGGCTTGAAATGCTTCAGATCCAGGCCTATGTAACGTTAGATTAACAACTTTTTTTTCTCTTCCTCTTCTCATTTCCTGCTCTAGCGAGAAAGGTGCATTTTATTTTCACAATCTTCACTCAGTGAATGTATAGTCGATTTAGTTTTGTCTTTAGTTCGTTGCTATGGTGGTTGCTATTTACGCTGCTATTGCTGAAACCATGTAGCTTGCATTACGTACTTCCGGCTGGAAGAATTTTCTTCACAGACACCCGCTTTTTTAATGATATCTTTATATAACCAGATATAAACCTTTATATAACCCATTTCTTCACAGAAAAACAACGTGATAACTCAACAATACGATATATTTATCGTATATATATTTTTTATATATATTATATCGATATATATATATTTTTTTTCAGGTAGCTGGTGACGGAAGTGCATTGTGTTGTGGGTGGAGTTTGCGCGTTCTACTCCTGTTTTGGCAAAAATATCTTAAATAAACCAACATATTTACTTTCTGTTAACATAGATCATCTAGATGCAGTGTTATTACTAGTTCGGCCGTACTAGATTTTTGATATATTCAGTAGATATATAATTTTACAACCCTATTTTACAACCCTACTTTGCAAACCAAAAGAACTACAACTGTAGTGCTGATTTGTATCAGGCTGTATGGCGTGACTATATGGAATTGTAGTTTTTATAACATTAGTGTTTTTCTTAGAATTGGATATTGTAAATAGTGAATTAAGAGTATAGTGAGGGGTTTAGGGGGATGGTAAACACATCTATGTAATCAGATTTTAAATATCTAGTTGTTAAACGGGTTAAAATTAATTGTAACCATATTTGACAGCGCCCCCAGTTGTTGACTATACTCACATGATAGCTGAGGACAAGAGCTCTCTATAACAGTTGGTCCCATATCTGTAGCCCGTTTTTTTTTGCTGAATTACAAGCCTTTAAACATGCACCGAGGTGTAGTTTCAAAGGTCAGTATTTCAAAGCAGGAGCCATGTACAATCTTCATACTAACATATGTTACTCTCCAGGTCAAGACCTTTCCAACGATGTATTTGGTTTAGCTCTACAACGAAGTTTTCATTTTCTCATTTCACGGACACAAGCCATCTTAAGGTCTAGTTTCAGCAAGCACTTTGAAGGCTCAATATATAAAATCAAAATTTTTGTTTGTTTGTTTCTGACCGTGTCAACAGATTTACGACCCCACAACATGAGTACCACCACAAACTATGTGTATTTCTGTTTGGGACACACATGGCTTATATGCATATCTATTTATGTTAATGCTGCTATGATGGTAAAAAACACACCATGGTCTAGATTATGGGTAGGATTTTAGAGAGACATATGTTGCAATCAAGGCAATGTCTCTTCCAGGGACATCCATGTTTATTTCAGGACAAATTCGGGCCTCATTCTGCACGGGCATGTCATTAAAAGAAAGGCTTAACACGGTGAAAGTGAAGAAAATACTTCTGGGTGGAAGTACGTCATGCAAGCTACATGGTTTCAAGAATCTAATTGGATCTGGAGTCGTTTCTTGTATTTGTATCGGTGATTAACCATGTGGAGGGATGATAACGGCCTTCAGTTTACTGAGCCTACCAGTAGCTGTAGCAGGCCCCTTCTGTCCCATATCTATGATGGTGATAACTACTAATAACACCCATTCAATCGAATGATAACATTCAGAGCGGGTGTTTTTGAAGTGCTTTAGTCCCTCCAAACCACTTGAATGGATTATATAATGTTGTAGCCTCAATATCCCTGTTTGGAAAGTTTCCAACATGTATCTCTGAAGATGACACTGTTATTAACTTGTAGGTGACAGTCTCCACATCTGATTTTTGGCTCATTCCTACCATGGGATGAGTTGATAATCAGATGGATATGGTCATTACATTACATTTCAGATCACTAAGCTTCTTAAAAAAAAATTCCAACTTGGGTTGTTGCTAAAAGAAGTATTGCATAACTGACTAATATTGCCATGTTGTTTGTATTCAGTGCATTTCAAAGTAATCTGACCGAACCCTGCTAACCGATCATCGTTATAACGTGGTTAACTGTATGGTTTGTATATATTTAGACAAGCCCCTACAATGGTTCTACATCATCAGTATTGAAGTATGTTACACTGCCAGTATCTGTGTACAGTATGTAAGTTTCGCACATCTGTCTTAATATGAGACCTGGTGTGACTGTGACCTCTAATGTTTCAAAATGTTAGTAGTTCCTGGTTGAATCTGAAAGCTCCCAGTTCTGTTAAGGGTTGACGAGTGATGAGCCAAAGTCAACTCAATAGTCTGATGACAAATTAAACTTGTATTTCTGTTTACATACACATATATACAGGTATCAGCAAGTATTTACAGACATTATCAGTTGCATACATAACCATGAGTATTACAATTCCAGTAACACAAAAGAGAGTAGAATTTAAGAGCATATGTAGTCAAATACGGATAACAATAGATGCTATGCATATGACAGAGCAGATCATTTTTATATATTGATGTGCATAAACAAACTGATGATACTGAGTCAGAGCAAATGTACAATTCTAGATATTATTAGTGCTGTCAAACAATTAATAGCAATTAATCGCATCCAAAATAAAAGTTGTTTACATAATGTGAATACTGTGTATATTATGTATATATAAATACAAACACATGCATGTATACATTTAAGAAAAATATGTTGTTTATATATTAAATATATTTTTATATCATATAAATATATAAATGTATATACATGTAAATATTTTCAAAATATATACTGTATGTGTGTGTATTTATATATACATAAATATACACAGAACACACATATTATGTAAACATTATTTTGGATGCGATTAATCGTTTGACAGCACTAATTCTGATAGATATTTCAGAAGTTAGGAAAAAAGCATTTAATAATTTTCATGGGCCCACGTGTGAGAGAAAGCGTATAGCATGGAGGACCGTGCAAACTATAAATTAAAATGACCAAAACTGGATATACAAGGTTTTTGCACAAAAGAAACAATACTAAAATCTGGTTATGGCTACTGATAATTACAGCAGTGTAAAACAGCATGTATGACAAACCAAGTAAGCAAATGCATATTTCTATAAATCAGATTCAACTTCAATAAATTCAATCATTCCATTTAAATTCAGTTATCTGCTGGAACAAATCTCATCACTTTCGTTATAACTCATTTACAAAAACACAGGCTCTTTTGTCAAGACTTTAGAAACCTTTCCAAGTCATCAAAGTACAAGTCAAAGCAAAAGCAATTACAACTGTGACTTGAGTCTGACTTGAGTCCCAAGTCAGGTGACTTGAGTCCCCACCTCTGCATCATCATCCTCATCCTCATCCTCAGAGCTGATGTCATGTTGCCAGTCCATTTCTTCCTCCATTTCCCCTTCTTCCTCTTCCACCAGCCTAGGAGTTGGTTCGAGAATGCCTCTGTACGTGCATGCTACAGTCTGCTGTTTGAGTCTGAGGTCTTGCAGTCTTCTCTTAAGTAGACTGATGAGGCCCTTGGAACCCTCCTCTGTGAATCCATTCGGATAGCCTGTAAGTCCACACATGAAGAGTAATGAAATTACCGTCACACTAAACATTTTATCAGAAAGAGCTTATTTATGTTAAGACAAATCGAAATACAAAGTCAAATTGGAAAAAAATAATATTAATTTGATAAAATAATCTTTGAAGGCCATTTATCCTTAGTTCTTGAGCCAATACTTGCATGCCTGCTTTTCACTTAAAAATAGTTTGACCTATGAAATTTAAAGTGCATAAAGCCAGATAGTTTGATTTACACTTACTTCCTGTTTGTGTGCACACTGAAAAAGTGGCTATCAGTGACTGGACCTTTGCTACTGAGTCCAGCAGTGCAACTGGTCCTGCATCTTCTTCAGGCTCTCTGTTACATCCAAGGTCTTTTCTACTGTCTGCAAAACAGCAACACAAAATGCTGTCACTTCATAAAATAATCCTTTAAAAAACCAAAAAGTGTGTTCCTGCCAGATTTAATACAATAACATATTCAACTATACATACATAGCTGAGGTCCTGCATCCCTACAATGTCTACATGGGGGTAACAGTTTAAGTTCAACTTTAAGTTCAAATTTAACTGTTTAAAATAGTTAATCCTTTTTCAATACATGTACATACCTTTTTGTATCTGGAAGACAAGGCAATGTGAAGGACATTCTCTTTACGCTGATTCCACCCAATAGCGTGGACAGTAAGCATATCAGTTCTTACTGTAAAGAACAACAGAAAGTCACAATAAATTGTAAAATGTTAATGTGTACGTTTGCAGGCTAGCAGGGGGCAAAGAAGCTTACAAACCTGACTTGGCCATATACTTTGTGGTCAGGGCACATCTGGAGAGAAAACTATTGACTTGCTCTACTTCTTCACCAAGAGTGGTTCCAGCACCTTCCTGGTTCCTTGCATTCCACAGAATCTACAGGAAGCAGTGGACTTAAACAGTTAAACAGTGTAGACAATAGGGTGATCAATATTGATGCACATCCCAATGTTACCAGCTGTAGAGGACAGCACATAAGGGCTCATGTACAACTCAAAACACACTTCTGGGTTGTAGTTTGGGTCACAATGTCATTCATTTTGGCACTTTACGTTAATTGTTGGATATGTCATACTCTGAAAAGTAAAAGTCAAGAAGTTAAAAGCATCACCTCGCATTTTGTATTGTGGGCATTTGCATGCATCACGGACAAGCAATGTCTCATTTTCTGAAGAGGTTGAAGATGAGTCAGGGCCTCTGACACCTTCTCCAGGTATGGCACATATCGGCAGGTCACATCCATAGCCAAAAATGTAGCACCCTGGAACTCTTTTTGGAGAAACATTGGATATGCGAAGATTTCTCCTCTATACATATTCAGACCTTTGGAAAAAAGAAATAAGTAATAAATACTGTAGAATAGGCTTCAGATCATCATCATCTACAAATATTTTTAATTGCAATTTATCAAGACCAATACTAACCTTTGAGGAGGAATCCATGCCTGCACACAGCAATTTCTACACCTTCTTCATCCAACTTGTTGGCCTGCTTTAATGTCTCTCTTGCTGCTGTCCAGTTGGATTCCCCACACGTCGCTTTTCCTGCCGTCTACGAAAATTGTTTCAACATGTCAGTAGATAATTCAAGGACATTAAGTAGCAGGGCTGTACACTCAAACACACCAACAATTACAGTCAACATTTAGTCTTTGATTGCCTGACCCATCTTCCATCTGTAACTCACTGGAGGATAACAAACCATTTAAAATTATTTGCCATTTTGCACACAGGAGGTTAATTGCAATAGTCTAACTTTGTCAGACAATGTGTCAGACATATGTGCGGCAACCAATATTATGGATATTCTGTGCCCTCTGGATTAGAATCTAGCTGTATTTTCATCTTTGCTTCCAATTAGTTATTAAAAAAGCCAGAGATACCCGTTGCTCAGCCTGACTGAAAACTTACACTCTTGATAGCCCCCCGGACTTCCTCAACAAAATTAACAAAATTGGAGTCTTTGGCTAAAAACATTCCATCAAAGAATCCTGGCTCTTCACTCCTACAAGAAAATCAAGAAAATGTAACCACTGTAGTAAGAAGTTTTACCTAATAATAATAATAATAATGATGATGATTATTGTACTTATATGGCACAAGGTTACAAAGTTTAACATATATTATATTCAACAGCTACAGTATCAACAGCTTGATTTTAAATAACAAAATAAGAACTATATTATTATGATAATGTTAATAGCAAGTACATACATTAACTACACTGGCTGTTTTTAATGTGCACACAAAACTCTCTGGTTTATGTATGTACTTTGCTATTAACATTATCATAATAATATAGTTCTTTGTTATTTCAAATTAAGCTGTTGATACTGTAGCTGTTGAATATAATATCTGTTAAACTTTGTAACCTTGTGCCATATAAGTACAATCATCATCATTATTACTATTATTATTAGGTAAAACTTCTTACTACAGTGGTTATCCAGAATAAATTTTCTTGTAGGAGTGAATAGCCAGGATTCTTTGATGGAATGTTTTTAGCCAAATACTCTAAGGTGTCCAATTTTGTTGAGGAAGTCCGGGGGGCTATCAAGAGTGTAAGTTTTCAGTCAGGCTGAGCAACGGG